CAATCTTCGGTATAACCATAAATGTAAAGGCACAAACAGGAAACAAGAAAATTAATATTATACCGTTGAATAAGTTATTATATTTAGTACTTGATAACAAACTTCTCTTTGGCAGAACAATTTGAGAACAAGCGATAATTCCATATATTTTAGGTTTATATGAGGAGTGTGCAATTTCAAGTTTATAGAATCGTTTGACGAACTCATCAAACCAAAATCGTGCTCGCGATAAGGAAACGATCTTGTGCCTGTAAAAGCCAGGTAGCTCAGCTATTGTTTGATTTGTTTCAGTTGCATCGTGAGATGCATTTGCCAGTCGCTAACATAAAGAATATAACTCAGTACTCACTGCAGTGAGTACTGAGCGCATTTTCTCGTCGACAAAAATGTGAAGTCACGGACGGACAGACAGACGGACGGACATGGCGAGCACAATAGCGAATTTTTTCCCTAAATAAGAAAATGCGCTAAAAATAATTGTGGAACTCGCCGCGTCATTGGTGGTGCAATATCAAGTCGTTAACTGTTTATAATAACAGCGGAATACTCTGATTCGAAACGATTATTTACAAACGTAAATCAGATAACCAATACTTTACTTTCCAGTACAGTAACCACAAGGGATGCCAGAGTAGGTAAAAATGACCGTTAAATATGAATGGATACTCGATATTATACTAAATTCTATCGATATATCGATATTATACTAAATAATATCGAAATATCGATATTATCCTAAATTCTATCGAAATATCGATATTATACTTAATTATATCAAAATATCGATATTATACTAAATAAGTCCTAAACTTGCAGCACAATAGTATAGACAAGACCAAATTCAAATAACAAATTCGATCAGCTATAATAAGAAAGGTCATACCGCAACGCACGAGTCTACATTGCGTGTTAAATGGCGGTGTTTTTCCCTACGAAAAACACGATAGCTGCAAAGCGGAATGCCGAGCAGGGCCCATACTTTCAAAAAAAGTTAAGAGATCGTAAGTTCATCAGCCAATCATTGACGGCCTTTCAAGCAAAATCCACCAATCATAAGACGAGAAAATAGGTCGTAAGTACTCACGTTCACTTAGCCAGTTTTGAAAGTATGGCCCGCAGTACAGAAGCGGGAACGCAGCTCCAAGTTTCCAACATCGAACTGCAAGTCACGGCAAGCGGCTTTCCCTGCCTATGTCTGACTGTTGATTCATGTTGCCACAAAATGGAGGGTTGAGGTTCAAATTCGCGGATACATGCATATGGTATTCATTGCTATTAAGAATACATTGAAATGAATTTGAACCATTAATTAAAAATTTTAATAGCTTTACATTTATCAAAGCATTTATTTTATACTTATCGAATCTAAAGTTATATTAAAATAAAACTACGCACTTTTTTGCACCAAGAATATACTACTGACCTTAAAAAAATCAAACCTAAGAGTGGAGTGATAGTTGTGAGAAACAAACGAAGTATGTATTATAAACGCGGCAAATGAAACTGGAAAGGTTTCAGTCAATTCCTGAGTATACCGATCACGTACAGACCGATATTCCATCAAACGTTTCACTTTAAATTTTTTAGTAGACAAATAAATATTCAAATATTCAAGCAGAAAACCAACAAATATATTTGACATGAATGCATAGAAATGAATTGCGTAGTATTGTTAGAATTGCTCGTATAAGGAATTTCAAGAGTTTTGCTATTTCAGAAAGATGACATATCATTCGTACGTAATTAAGGATAATAGCTTTAAATTACTCGGAAGTTTGAAACATCTGAACATTACATTGTTCATACACAAAAAAACTCGAAATATTTCAACTGAATGGGCGCAAAGTCCATTAGAGCAGAATTACCGTTAACATTATGAAATATTTTATACTGTGTGCGTGGTGGCGAGAAATGAACATAAAATGATATACAGTTTACTGCAATGCGAACTACAGGCCTGTGACCAATGCCTCCATGCAAGGACATTCTAGTGCAGGAGCTGAAAAAGTGTGATAAAAAACAACGAAAATAAAAAATGCGCAAGGACACAGCTTGGTTCAATGGCTCATTCTGTGCACTGAATGAAGTTGAGTAAACCAAACAATGTTCACGTGCAGCGTTAAGATGGTCAGTGACTATATATAGCTAGCACAATTGGAAGTTTTATTTAATTTAATATCACTTACATATCACTTAAACATGGTTCTGTGCAACGAAAAAAACACAAAAGTTTCGTTATCAAGTGCGAAAAAAGTCTCATGTTCATGTTTTGCAACTTAAAGATTTCTAAGCTGCGATAAAATAAAATTAAAATTTATAGAAACTACAGTACAAATCATATGGAACATAGAGGCAAGCGCGCGGCCAGTGAAACTTTTAAATCCGCCACTATTTACCGTGCTATTGGCCACGGAACGAGCGCCCATTAACCCTTATAATACGAGTCCAGTAGCATAATAATTAGTCGCATGTCATCACATTTGAAAGTCGTATTTATCGTCAATTCTGGCCGTCTACTAGCAACATATTTATTCGTCAAATGCGTGAAGCTACTACACACATGGATACTATCGACTTAACATCTTTTATCATATATAAAAGATATTAAGACATAGACATATAAGAGCATTAATTATGAAGAGACATATCGATTTAATTTTTTTACCAATACAACATCATGATCAAGTAACAACAAACGTCTACAGACAACATAAAGTTTTCTATTGAACCCCATTCAGTAAATATCCTGCCAGGGGCCATACTTTCAAAACTCGCCAAGTGAACGTAAGTAGTTACGTTCTATTTTCTTGTCTATGATTGGTGGATTTTGCTTGAAAGGCCGTCAATGATTGGCCGATGAACTTACGATCTCTTAACTTTTTTTGAAAGTATGGGCCCGGGACACTAAACTAATTCTCTATTCTTTTACCAAAACAACATCATGATCAAGTAACAACAACTGTCCAAAGACAAGATAAAGCTTGCTACTGAACCCCAGTAAATATCCTGGACCGAGGCAAACATGCCAGACTAAGTAACTCGATTAGTTCCTCACCCTTGTGTTCGCGTGATCGCATTAGCGTCAGAAGGCATACTGCGACTGGTAAGGCACAAAAGTAAAACACAATCTATTTAATTAAAAAGGTCACGTTGCCTAAATAGTGACACTTTATTCCAGCATGTAGCAGTGATACGCCATGTTGCTGCCCAAACTAAGTCAGGATGGCCCACGCAGGGGCAAAAATACATCATTATTTGGACAAAGTCTCTCAATTTTTCTGAGAGCAGCTATCAATAAGAGGGTGGAAGCGGGCAACAACACGAGTGAGAGTGACGCTTGTTTTGTCAGCTGAGGACCACGAGGGAACATGCGGCTAACCGCGAGAGGGGAATGTGTTGCTTTGTGCTGCTAATGCCACACGGTGACGAAGTTTTGCACATCAAGTTTCAGTGCAGTGTATCTCAAACTTTCTTGGGGTATATCTTGACATACTATTACTAGTTAAATGCGCTGATATATTTATGAGCAGATGTAAAATTTCAAAGTAGGTTCCATCCTCTCTTGATTTGTTGACAGAGGATATTTCTAGACTTATAACATTCAAATGCGTCGACATTGTCACGATTAGATGCCAAATTTCTATGTAGGAATTTTGTTGTTTTTCTAAACTATTTCACCGTTTTTCCGGGTAAAACACAATGGCCACCGCAAAGGCGCTGCACGAGAATGGAATATAAATATAATTTTTTCTACATAAAAAAAATTCAAATGCGCTAACTCGTGGCACTTGAAAAAGTGTGTGGCCTCCATTTTTCAAGGAGGTATTTACGCACTCGACATTTCTTGAAATAATTACATTAAACTTTTCAGCTATCCAAAAAATTCAATAGGAATAAGAACCTCCAATTGCATGACATGAGCTGCAAAGAAATATTGTTTGCCAATTCACTAAGTGATAGGCGATCAAATAAATATGTCCTAAGCCAAAAACATGCTTTTCCCATCATTGAAGTAACCGAAAAATTGAACGCCAAAAATCACTCGAGGTTCGAATTCTCATTTGAAATTCGGCAGGTCAACATGATGCATCCGAGATTCGAACAGTATAAATTCTACTACGTCTCACAAAATACAAGTTTCTCACCACTTTCAAAATTAAGATGTGAAATAACTAAAAAATTATGGAAATTTAGCAATTGTATTACCTATAAGCGTAAACATATGATTCAATGACGTCAAATGAGCTATGTGCAACTCTAGTGATTAAGGTCCTGAGCGACTGGGCACATAAAACTAAACAATCAATTATAAATGCACTTACCTTGCGTTTGATCGGTGAGATGATAGATGTAATAGATTTACTATAATTGTCTTACTTAAAATATAGACAGATTTCTTATCAATGCATGGGACCAACAGTGTATATGAGGAAGGGCAACGTAGGCCAACAAGAATGTAATCAGTTAGCTGCGCGATAAAGTCGAATAAATATGATTTTACACGTCTTCGTTCCAATAAATTGTTAAAGGGACTATGCGAAAGAATCAGTTTATAAATATGATGAATTGCTATCGGAAAAAGTGAATAGTCTCTAAAATAAGCATATAATTACTGCTGATACTAATATTGTATTATGAGAATTAATACTGAATCACCAGGAAGTAATTAATAATTAGGAAAATAAGACATTAAATATCTGACTTGGTTGTGGGCAAGGCGCTCGGTGAGCTTGGGTATATTAAGAAAACTTGAACAAAAATAATAATACTGAAAACATTATGAGGTTATAATTATGTATAATAAAAGCATGCAAATATCAGACCTGGTTGTGAGCAAGGCGCTCGGTGAGCTTGGATACATTAATAAAACTAGAACAATGGAATAATATTGAAAACATGACAAAATAAAAGAGACAGTATTGAAAATATGAGGAGGTTAAAGAGATAATATTGAAAACATGATGAGGTTATAATTATGTATAATAAAATCGTGCAAATACCTGGTTGTGAGCAAGGCGCTCGGTGAGCTTGGCCAGGGAGTTGGCGCGCGGAGCAAAGAAGGTGAGAGGAGGCAGAGCGGCCTCCATCTCTGCCAGCCACGTCACCAGCACCTCTTCTTCCAGCGCCAGGTCTACGGGGTCATTAGGTCATTATGACTCATGATTATGATTATGAGTGATGATTATAAGTAAAATTCATGTTAATTGTGTATCTCAGCCAGCCACGCGACCAGCACCTCTTCTTCCAACGCCAGGTCTGCGGGGTGATTTAGGTGATTATGAGTCTTGATTATGAATATGAGTGATGATTATGAATATGAGTGATGATTATAAGTAAAATTCATGTTAATTGTGTATCTCTGCCAGCCACGTCACCAGCACCTCTTCTTCCAGCGCCAGGTCTGCGGGGTGATTATATATACAGTTGAAAATACGTGCAATTTTCATTTAAGGAATGAGAGTGTCAAGATGAAATATGAAGTGAGAGATAAAGCAACATGAACATGTATATCCCAAATGTTAATAAAAACTACAACAATTTCGATGCGGCAGCGCATTTATAATTTGTCTGCCATATATACAAACCTCTCATTTTCAAGGTTTCAACCCTATATTGCTCGAAAAAAAATTTTTATCCAAGCGAACTTTGGGCATTCAGTTAATTTTTAATTAACACGCCGCTTTATTGTAAAGAAGCATTCGAATAAAAATTACATTTAAGCAAACTTTGGGCATTCAGTTAAATTTTTAAATTTAAACTCAATTTTTAAATTTTAACACGCTGCCTTATTGTAAAGAAGTATTCAAAGCTAGTGTCGCGTGACAGCCATTCAATCTTCTCTACAGTAATGCCGATGTCTGGGGTCCTTGGCAGACGCTCAACAGAAGTACAGCTTATATGGCGACCAAAGTAGACACTGAAATGTCACGTGGCTCGCGCCACCGTATATACATTTTTTACATGAGCTCCGTATACGTGTTGCTGCTGTCTCTTATACACATCTAGATGTGTATAAGAGACAGGGCCTAAGTAAATGTTTTAATTCTAAGAAGAAATTATCGTAACAACTGGTACAACAGAAGTTTGAGAGCACATTAAATATTGAGGAAGCTAGAACTTAAAGAGCAGAGCACGTTCCATAGTGAGGGAGCTAAGAAAAATTTTGAAAATATGCATAAAAAGTAGAAAAAGAGAAAATAAAGTAAAGAGAACTAAAGCTTTACTGACCTAAGCGGAAGACGCAAGGATTTTGTTTCTCGCCAGCAGCGGAGGGAGGCGCGACGCTGGCCTCAAGCTGCAGCCACTTGCTCTCGAGACACCGAAGTTTGTGCTGCAGAACTGCAGGCTCCACGAAGTCCACTTCTGCAGATCCTTCCATGACGGCAGTGGTGCTCGTGAAGGAGGTCTGGAGGACTTCAGAGCTGCCGACGCCTTCAGTAGGAGACGTAGGAGCGCCTTCAGTAGGAGACGTAGGAGTAGAGTCGCGGGTACGGGACTCAGCCAGCAGGCGGTTGCCTTGCTCCGTGAACATCTCGCGTAGGTAGGAGTAGCGCTGGAGCTCTTCGTGTTGTGCCTGAAACAGTCAATTTTTAGTGATCATGAAATGAAAATTTGATCATGAAATGAGAATTTGGTCATGAAATGAAAATTTGATCATGGAATGAAAATTTGATCATGGAATGATAATTTGCTCGTCAAATGAAAATCTGATCATCAAATGAAAATTTGAACATGAAATGATAATTTGAAAAGAAAGAGAACTTCCGAAAAGTTAGGCTCTAACATTCAAGAGGTTCATCCTAGTGAATTAAGAGTTCTCCAAGAAATTTTGATAATTGAGACGATAAATCTTGAACATCTGAGCTGAAAGTCCTCTACTTCAGGTAAATCAATTAATGTAGGCTTAATGACATGAAATCTAGACCACTAAAGAAAGATATCGCTCTGAAGGGACAAATGATACCCTTCGAAAATGACCCTAAATTATTTTGTAAAAACCCAAGTAATAATTTCAGGTCGATTATTTGAGAGTCTTCCAATAACAGCAAGACTAAACACAGATGTAAATATGACGAACTACAAATTCAGGACTAAATAAACTTTTAAATAATCTCTAAAAAATTGTTATCTTGCAATACTTAAGGGTTTCAGCAGAAAATTTAGGTAGGTACTCATGATGAGAAGAGTGTGCGATAGAACTCAAAGGTCATATACAATTAACGAAGTATTAAAACACTTCTTTTACTAAGTCAATTCATTACGGATCTTTGCAGCAAATCATGCTCAGTTTACCCCAAGAGGGGAATCTTAAATGAGTAATATTCTTCGGATTGCATGATGCATAATGACATATCTCTTGCCACGTGAGCCGACTCATTTATCACGTTCATATTGTATAAAATATATATCTATTCCTCAAATATCGATCAAGTTTTCAGTAGGGAAGGATTTGAGGCCTGGATAGGATACGAGTAATAAATACCATAGGCTTCAGGAGAGTAAATTGTGCTGAGCAAAATTGTTTAAAAAAAGCCCTTTTTAGACTTGGCATGAAAGCTGAGCTTAGAAAGCAGGAAGTTCTACAGAAGTTATTCACGACATAAACATTTTTGCATTACAAATACCCCCAAACTTCTGCAATCTAGTAAACTAATTTCATCATATTTATATTCTTCCCCAAAAATTACTTCTATACCTCGTTTTAATTACAGTACGGCTCATGCAAATATTACTTTTATACTTCATTTTAATTACAGTACGGCTCACGTCAAAATATTACTTCTATACTTCGTTTTAATTACAGTACGGCTCACGTCAAATATTACTTCTATACTTCGTTTTAATTACAGTACGGCTCACGTCAAAATATCACTTCTATACTTCGTTTTAATTACAGTACGGCTCACGTCAAATATTACTTCTATAAATCATTTTAATTACAGTAGGGCACTTCGCTTTAATTAATCACTCTTAAACCTGGAAAACTAACCCTGCGCTGTACGGCGTCTTGCGACGTGACGGCATACCACTTGAGCTGAAGTTGAATCATCCACACATAAAGCATTCTGTACTCGAGCAGAAAATCTCGTGTGTTCCACTGTCGGTAGTTGGCGAGTGAAGCCAAGATATCGTCGGGGTCCCAGGAGAGTTCGAGGTGGTCCGAGGGCGGCAAGGGGTCCGAGGGCATCGAGGGGTCCGAGGGCATCAAGGGGTCCGAGGGCATCGAGGGGTCCAAGGGCATCGAGGGGTTCTTCGTGGTAGGGCGCTGGGGCGTGAACACGGGGAAGGGGTTGCTGGTGGTCAAGGAAGCGAGGGCCGCCGCCGTCGATGTGGACAAAGAGGTTCGGGAGGAGGACAGGTTCGGTGGCTTGTTCTGGAACATGCAAGGTGATTCAGCACACATGTAAAATAATTAGTAAAATGAATAGGTTGCTAAGAATAACTGAGTACTATGCGCTAACAGGTTGCTAATAATGCAAAAAATACAAAATCAAATTAGTTACCGTCAACTGAGGTGACTTCGGCCGCCGGGGTGACTTCGGCCGCGTTTTTTGTTTTGTTTTGCAAACAAAAGCGGGGTCATAAACGATGGCAAAAGTCACTCCGGCATTTATGACTTCGTTTGCAACCCTGGCGTTTATGACCCCGTTTTTGTTTGCAAAACAAAATAAAAAACGCGGCCGAAGTCACCCCAGTTGACGGTACTTGGTAAAATAAAACAGAAGATATGATAAGATGATAACAGATATCGCTTCTGAATGTAGACAAAAATTTAAATTATACACGTGAGACTTTTACGATATACACCAACCTGTGAAGTAACATGAGCTGAAATAAAGTTCTGGCGATTACTAAAATAATAGATTGACTATTTGAAAATTGGATAAAATTGTGGATGAATTTTAGAATTAGAAATCTTTCCATTTGAAATGAGCACAATTTGCCACTATGTTCAAATGAACTTACTCTTCTCACTGTTCGCAGTAATTACATTTCGACAACAATCAATCCAAAAATACAACATAGAAATCTTTATTCGCCTACAAGACCAGCTAAGCATATTTGCCAATGCGCCAAGGACCAAAGAATTATTCTAGCATGATTGTGTATACCGGATATAACATTCAATCGTACCGACCCTGATCAGACGTAATACATTTTAGGCGTAAGAGTCGCGGAAGAAACAGACGTCAGTACATAACTGAAAGACGTAAAATGATGAGAAATATATTGCTAGAAGGAGTTAGTGGATGCACGACAGAGAGACTTTTGGATGTACCTGGAAAATACTTTTTTTTGGCAACATACTACAGACATTGCAAGAATGGGAACGATGCAGGACGTACGAGTGAGTCGGTAGAAATAAACTCTTTTCCTGCTGACGATCACACTCAATTCTAGCCTTAATCGAACGAATACAGATCAAGACCTTTAGTGTATCCGTAGACAGTAGGTAAAAGGCAGAAATGCCTGTCAAAGATGAGAGTGAAACTGGAATCTCGAGTAGGTTGGAAAGGGGAGTAGTAACTAAAATGTAACGAAAATATCTATCAACCATACAAAGGTTTGATGTTTGAGGAAAACGTATGCATGAGTAAGCCAGTGAAGATACGTAATTAACGCAAAAAATCTCTCAACGAGGCCAATTAGTAGTAGTAGTAGTAGAATGGTTTGCTAGCGCTTCAGCTATCAAGCTATTTCGCGCCGGAGGTCAAAATGTAACATCGCCAGAAGGCGGAAGGTCTCAATTAATCAAAGTCTAAAATTATTCATCACCCACAAGGGGCGGAAGGTCTCAAGTGTCCAGCTCGCTGAAGCTGGCTCGAAACAAGCAGCGTTAGCATCTCAAAGAGACGAAGTGACAAGGAGGTTCCGTAATATATGAAGCATGTTAGCAACAAATTCACGAAGAAATATCTAAGATAACTCCGTATTATGAAGCATGTTAGCAACAAATTCACGAAGAAATATCTAAGATAACTCCGTAATATATGAAGCATGTTAGCAACAAATTCCGAAGAAATATCTAAGATAACTCCGTATTATGAAACATGTTAGCAACAAATTCACGAAAAAATATCTAAGATAACTCCGTATTATGAAACATGTTAGCAACAAATTCACGAAGAAATATCTAAGATGACTCCGTATTATGAAGCATGTTAGCAACAAATTCACGAAGAAATATCTAAGATGACTCCGTACTATGAAGCATGTCAAGACGCACCAGTGATTCAGTAGATGCAGAGTGTAAGAAAGCAACAAATTCACGAAGAAAATAAAAAATCAAGAGATATCTTAAGATAACTCCGTATTATGAGCATGCATGACGCACCAGTGAGTCAGTGGATGTAGAGTGCGGCGGTAGAAGGAACGATGTCATGATGTAGTCGTAAGGCCCCTGGATGCTCGCCCATAGGTCGCCAGATCCATACTCTTGTTCACCTGTTGTAGAGTCCCATGACCGTCGCACGCTGTCGTCTGCTCGCCGTCTGCACGCCCAAATACAATTAATTGCCAAGTTCAAAACAAACACAACAGCCAAATCAAGTTTTTAGTATAGACTGCAATGGGAGCTAAACTTTAAACACAATATGATATATGATAACACAAAGCAAACACAACAGCCAAATAAAGTTTTTATTATAAACTACAATAGGAGCTAAACTTTAAACACAATTGAATATTAAGCTAGATTATAAACTTTGATCAAAGATACCAATTACAAGACCTTAAACCACGATACACGATACAATTCTAAGTTATTTACCGCAAAATATTTTAAATGCTAGTAACGAAAAAATATTGAACCAAGAAGATGCATTTCGAAAAATCGGGACGCATGCACAAAAATACCGAATCCTGTGTTGACCGAAAAAACATCCACCTCTCCAACATCGAGAAGGGAATTATCATCTTTTGCTCCTTGCAAGTCGATAATCTGACATCTTGACTATTCACGGACATAAATTTTGAAGGCCAACTTCAGACCAAACGTAAGACAATGAAGGGCCGTGCCAGTAAGAAGTAAATATTGAGAGAAGCGCACAGTTACCGCCGTCAGCAGCTGCTTGTCAAGTCAAAACAACCCAACACACGCGAAGCTTCAGGGAAACAAGGATTGAGCTGTGAAAGAACCATCTCAAATCTAGGTCAGTGCGGAGATCCATCCTGCTATATATTCACGAAATAACAAAAAGCTATAAACAACAATCAACAACCGTAGTTTTAAGGTTGTCTTCTAGTGGCGTCAAGAGTGAGGGAAAATTTATCGAGCAATGAAAAACTTAGAAAAGTTGTTATGTGTATCGATAGTTATAAAAGACACTGAATATTTTTCACGCTAATGCAAATTCAAAGCTTAACGGTGTGAACATGTAGCTTAATTTATTGCTTTAGTAATGGGAAATCCAGCGTTCAAGGGCAGTGAGGGCATCAGTCGACAGCACAGGCTAGCGCGCAGTTGATTGTGACTTATAAGTTATACAAAACAAACATTCAGTGGCTGAATAACTTAATAGGTTTTAGATATCAATTCACAACACTGTTTTTACCTCCATTGTAAGTACGCGTGAGAATATAAGTCATGAGATTACAAACAAAATCAATTTTGGGATTGATAAGTCCTGGTAAGTTGGGCACATGCCGAGATACTTTCTACAAATGCTGAACAAATATAATTTTAAAAAGTCAACGAAAAAATAAAAAAGGTAATTTTGACTAAAATTTATATAATTTACATATGCGATTCAGCCGGTTTAAGCGTGTAAATTTTTCTGCCGGTCACAATAATGAACACCACTTTTAGATTAAGCCGATTATGCCAGAAACACCAATGATTTTTTTTAATCAACTTATAAAATTAATAATTTCGAACATATAGTTTGTACCGTGAGTGTTATGAGGTGCCGACGAGTGCCGCAAGAGTGCCCGCGTTAGTCGTGTGTTTAAATTTTTTTTATAATTTAAAACTTGCGTATAATTATATAATGACGCGTATTTAAATTACTTTTTTAATTTATACCTTGTGTATCTTGGTACCAAGATACACAAGAGTGTCCGCGTTAGTTCTGGTGCACAGCAGTCGACCGTTGGGCGCTCACTGAGCACTGACGGGTAACGCACGCCACACAATTTCAAACTCGTGTCTGTGCCTCTGAGATGAAGATTTGTTTACATGGTGCACAACACCAACCGCGCTCTAACTTTCCGTTTACCATCATAGAATAGAATAGAATAGAATAGAATAGAATAGAATAGAATAGAATAGAATATAAGTGTCGGCGTTGAAGAAATAGGTCCATGGCCTGTTGCCGATTCTTGAATTTTTCGTTACTTGATTCACAAGGGGTCCGGCCTTTGGAACCCGATCTTTCCATAACTGATGTTTGATTGAGATAGCTGCTGGACTTATTGCCTGCATGGTCCGTAATTTGCTGGGCATTAGAATAGAATAGAATAGAATCATCCTGTATCTCGTGTGTTTACGTCGTTTTACAGTAGAATGTAAGAGATAAATTATTATGCTACTGAATTTTTATTCAATTTAAATGCTGTCCGAAAATCAGATTCTTGGATTCACATTTGTTAGTCATTATGTAGCAAAAAATCGGTACTGATTAATGCAATGAAGAAGTGTACAAACCCAGACGCCGCATGCAACTGGTCAAAGTATGTCTGAATATTATAAAGTTGACCTTTTAGCCGGCAAAAACTTTAAATTTATAGCCGCTCAAGATATTTTTCCGGTAAAGTACTGTACATATACCACCAAGTAGTAAACAATTCTCCAAATATTCTAAGAAGACTTTCTTATTTGGCGATACTTGCTTGCTATAAAAGATGAGATACGTGTTCAAAATTGATTTATGATGCATCGACAGAAATTTTTGCGTACATTGAATCCATATTTTACGTTTAACATATAAAATAATAACCTATGATTAAAAGCGATCGCGTACTTTCACTTACAACACTAAAATTGACAACAACGTTCGAGCTTCACAACAGCCAGATTATGGCTTCGTCCTTCTTAAGTTAAACAAAAGGGTTCACCATCTTTGATATAGATAAATACATAATACATCGAGAGCGCGTAGCCACCACCGAAATCCTGAGTTACATAAAATAAAATAATGAAGACAAAGTTTGGACCGCACGAACAAAGAGCTGTCTCTTATACACATCTAGATGTGTATAAGAGACAGCTCCTAGTGAATGCATCCTGACTTGAACAGGAATTAGTACGAGTGTCACTGGTAAAGTTTTGTGCTTACTTCTAGTGAATGCATCCTAACTTGAACATGAATTAGTACGAGTGTCACTGGTAAAGTTTTGTGCACATAGCACCCACAAACGGGCTAAGGTGCTACGCATTTTCCATTCAAGTGCTTCGAAAAACAAATAGGTGGCTATTACAGAGGACGATAAGAAAGGCTCCATAAACAGTAGCATATAGATATGTTTAAAGATAAATGGGACGATAGACTAATTTGCGACAGAAGTACACGATAATTATACGGTCGAAAACTTGAAATCAGAGCCCAGATATTGCACTCAAACGAATAGGCATTGCAAGTTGCAACGACGACCACAGCCAACACTAATGCAGTCAGACGGTTTGTAGCCAATATATTATTTTGTGACTAACATCACTCCAAGGCAGACAGCAGGGCCAATACTTTCGAAAAAAGTTAAGAGATCATAAGTTCTTCAGCCAATCATTGACGGCCTCTCAAGCAAAATCCACCAATCATAGACAAGATAATAAAGCGTAAGTACTTACGTTCGCTTAGCGAGTTTTGAAAGTATGACAGACCTGAACAACTTCAACTTAATAATATGATAACGTTCTCAACTCAAGAACATTCACTAAAAGCATTGCTTCAAATCACGGGTATAGAGCGAACAAAAAATAGTCTAAACGAGGGAACTGGGTACTCCTTTGCACAACGCACAAGCCACTGAGTCAATTGAACCCAGCCTACGAGTCAGACAGTCAGACTACCTTCAAAACATAGGTATGTCATGCTGGGAGGACGGCACTGGATAGAAACAAACGTAACTAAAATGTATATTTCAATTGTCAATGCTGTGGCATTTTATGCCTTTATCTAAACACTAAAATTTTAACGAAATAACATAAACCTAATCAAGCAAACTTGCCTTGCTATCGTTGAATAAAGAGAATTCTGCCTTCCCAAAAATGCATATTCCAAGCAGGGACGAGGCATGTCGAAATAAGATGATGAATAAAAATAAAAAAAAAAATTAGGCGCGTGGGGAAGGAGAAGTTTTTAAAATTAGTCGAATTGCTGGCGAATTCAAAATTTGGCCGCACAGTTTACCGGTAAAGGTAGGCTTTCGCTAGTAAGGTTCTATTCTAGGCAAAAACCTCAGAAGTCTTCGCGCCATTTCAAAGCATTGCAGCAAGCCTTGAGTTTGACGGTTAGTCTGGCAAGATCAACATTACAGCAGCCACGGCAATGCAGCAAACATGCTGACATACTGAATTCCACGACACGCGTGACAGGAATACCTGCAGCCTCGTAAAGCCTGTATAGCCGGACTGTAGTCACAGACAGTCTCATTACTGCCGGACTGCAGCTAGAAAACGGCTACTTTAGGATATTGACCAGCATTATTTGAACAATTACTAGAGTTTTTATTATCATTAATAAGTGCAACTAACAACAACAGAAAATTGTACTCAAGTTAAAGAACTGGAGAGTCAATTTTAAAAAGAATTTCATGAATACTGTATTAATCAGCAAGAAGATTCGACCATCAGCAAGCACGTTTGATCATTGATGTTAACGATTTATATCTTACACTAATGAGGATTTAGGGAGCACCTCGAGATTTCAAGGCGCCACAGGGAGTTATCTTTCACGTAATTTATGAAACATAGCAAAAAAAAAACACAGAGATTTATAACTCCATAGGTGGTTGGCAAAATTCGGGCATGACTAACCCCAAAAAATCAATTTACTTCTAAAACTACACAAAAACAATAATTCAATTTTCATACCATGATTAACCTCAAATTCATATTATATTTAGCAAAAACTAGAATAATGTGCAAAATGATGTCAGGAAATAACACCGAAGTCACGCAGCACCTAAAACAACCATCACCAAGCCGTGAGAAGCAATTATTTTTCGGGCATTACACGCGCGAGGAACCGTACAGCGATAAAACAATAACATAACGAAACGTACGGCTGTATGACTTATAAATATTAAAGTATAGATTGCGTGATATCAAGACACAAGTGATAGTTGCCAGCCAAAACTGTGTCAAAATGATGTCTCGAAACACAACCTTGCTAAAAAAAAACACTTGGATGCAATGAAGAAAAAAGTTTAGGAAGAGGGCATTGTTCAACGATGTTTTCTCTCAGGAAACTCAAAACTAATAATGTTTGATGATAGGCCATAGCAAGTCAGTCGTTGAGCAAGCAATTACACCTATAGCCGTGAGAAGCAATTA